CAAAAAACATCATTGCCGCTGTGCCTTTTCATCAAAAAATTGTAGAAGAGAACTTTTTTGATATCAAAAATTTTCGTAATTTGAAGCAAAGATCGCAATTTTTTTTTGATGCTTAAGTATTTCAATATGCTACCAATTAAACATGGAACAATTTCTTCATCTTCAACTGTTAATATTTTCTAGAAATTTTTGAAAAAAAAATTTAAATATTTTTCTCGTACTTCCCAAGGGAGCCTCTATCACCCCTTAAAAGGTATGACGCCAATTTCGAATCACCCTGTATGTAATTTGTATTAAATTCTGGTGTAGTTTCCAACATACTCTGTGATCTGTATGGCCACATGCCTTTAATTTTTAGAGATAGAAAGAAAAATGGGCAAATGAGAGAAATATTTAAGGCAACATAAAAGACAATGGGAGCAGGAAACTCTATTTTGAAGTGAGACTGAATCCAAGATTATTAATTTTAAATATAACCTACCATCGTTCGGGGTGAAAAACAAGTATAATTTTGAAAAGAAAATTTTTAATAAAATAATTTAGAGTCTTGCGTGTATCCTTAATCGAATTCCATATTCAAACACATAAACTTTTCATTACCCCCTAAGTTTTTTAGATATATCTGGAGTAAAGGCAACGACCCTTTATGAAGCGTTAAAAATCGTCTTAGCATCTAGTACCTACGAGGCGTATTCTTATTCTTATTAAGTTTCTCTTCTTGTGAAATAAGACATAGTCCGCTATGTTTGTTTGTTTGGATTCCTTTTTTCTTATCGTGCAAGGTAGATTTTCGAATTTTATAATTTTCAGCAGCAGTCTTAAACTTTTTCTGCCTTATCTTCGAGTGCCCTAGCGACGTTTTCTTCATTATAGTTCTTAAAATTAATACCGACTTTTTTATACTGTTTAATCATCATCATTCAGCTCTATAAAATGGCTTTTCACTAAAACACAATTATTTATGACAAAAAAACAATATTTTCTAATGAAATTGAAAATGAAAATATTTCTAAAAAAAAAACTCATTTTATTTATTTGTTTTTAGTATTCTCTTGTGTGTAAAATGTGATAAATCATTATCTCTTTACAGGTGGTTTTAAAAAGTTTTTTTAGACATTAAAGTCTAAGGACATAAGCATAATTTTTATAAGGAGGTGTCTTTTTGATAGTATTGTATTACAAAATGTGGTTATGCAAACATTTGTTGTGGTTAAATACCAAAACTACCCTCTGAAATTGTCATAAACAGACATACATTTTGAGACATAGGGGTCGCGAGTGACGGGTTACACGGTGTTGCCGCAAGGTTTCAACACTTGCGATTGTAGCCCCAGCCACTCGTCTTTATCTATGACCACAGCAGTTGCGACTTTGGGCGACAAATGAGCTCGGCAGGGGCGACAACGGTTACGGAAATATGGTCACACTGCATATAGTCACCAGAATCTCGAGACTACAACATGTGCGTGACCGCTTGCAATTTAATTTAATTTAAACCGCGTACCAACCACGAGCTTGAAGCCACCGCAGCGCGTTTTCTAACCCCACCGAAAGCAAGTGTTTCAAAAAGTAGGTACGCTCAAATCGAGGAGCTCTTTCGCCATATCGCTCATATAAAGCCCCCCCAAAAGCCCCCGAGGAGTCCCCCCCAACAAGCCATAGCAAAGCCTACAGCTGAAGCTGAGCAAATGGAAGTCCAAGACTTCCTTCCCTGCCCTAAAACCCACAGCCCCAATCAATCTCCCCAAAACCTCTAACGCCGCTCTGCACCATACTACATGGTCTGCATTACGAATTATTACATTACTGAATCTGCAATACGAATATTCAAATACATCTACAAAGGTGCAAAGTTTTACAAAGGTGCAGGGCATTTAATAGGTGTGCCTTAGTTGATTTTATTGTTAAGGTTTTTGAGTCATACCACCAAAGACACATTTTATCATTTGCGAATAATCGATCAACCAAAAATATTTTTTTGTATATGAAATTTTGTCAGAAAATTCGAAATATTAATGTACAAAAAATTAGTGAACACATGCATTCAGTAATTAGTAGTGCAGACCCATCTATAATATACAGGGTGTTTGGTAAGTATATGCATTCCTTGCAGGGGATGATAGTGCAAGTAATTTTGGACATAATTCGTTAATAGACCATGTTCCGAAAACTCTTATTTTCCAATGTACAGGGTGTTAAAGTTTTAATTTAAAAAAATGGTGTGCGTCACGGGACGCTCAACAAAAGTGTTAACTTCATATAGTTATAGAAACCATATAAAACATAATATCGAACTTGTTTAACGTATGATGGGAATAATAATTTTATTTTATAATTTTTATATTATCCTTGGTTTAATAATTTATAAATAGATCAGGAATAGGTAAAATGTAATTTAATTTCCTTTTGAATGTAAAATATCTTTTTTATTTGCAACATTTGCTTGCATTGCAAAGAAGCAAAAAGACAACGGCACGCGGTCTTTCAAAGCGGTCACCCATCCAAGTACTAACCGCGACGGCGTCGCTTAACTTCGGTGATCGGACGAGATAGATAGTTAGATAAAACATTTAATAATATTTACATTGTATACAGACATTAACAGATTAACAACAATAACAACAAGTGTCGGTCAATGGTCGGCCAGTTGCTTCTCTGCCTATGGTTTAAATGGGCGGGAAGTAGTCCAGTACCTGGGCAGAGCCCTTACAAGGACATTCGCGGATCCGCAATCGCACGAAAACGTGAGAAGATAATCTTTAAATGGCGACTTTTCTTTCACTGAAAGGGCATTCATTTTGAGGAAAAAAAGTCTTCCTGAAGGGAAGCCAAAAACCCCTGTTGGAACATATTTATTTTCAGCTAAGTTTACCACTTACTGCTACTTATTCTACGGATCCTTAGTGCTAACATCGTTAGAGTGTGTAACACTCTATGGATCTTAAGATATATCATCATATGACTTAATCTAAATTAACCTAACAAACCTAATCTAAACCTAAACCTAACAGCCTCTCTTGCTTCCTATAACTAACTTAAAGTTAGCCCATGGTCC